CAGTGACTCCCCTGAGCTGCCGGACCCGGGTCCCTGGGGTCAGAGCACAGGCAGTCGAGTGGCACTGACTGGCCGGGGCTGCTGGGGTGGTTAAAAGGAAAGGGTTAATCCCAGCGTGGTGGCACTTTGCTACCCGGCCCTGGCTGGTCTCTGCCCTCTGGGTGCAGCACAGGGCGTGTGTCTCTGAGCAGGTCCCTGCCACTCACCCGCTATTTGCCCCAGACACAGAGACTCCAGGTGCCGAGGGAAGGAGCAGCCCCAGCAGCGCCGCATTGGCCCTGGCACGGGCTGAGCCTGCGAGCGCAGCAGCAGAGGCAGTGGCAGAGAGAGGGGCTCAGCCACTGAGAGCAGCAGCGTCCCCACCCGCAGGGGAGGGGTCAGCGCTGGGACAACAGGCCGGGCTGGGTCAGGGGCTGGGAGCTCTGGCAGTGAGCGCGGTGCCAGCACCAAGAGCCCTGCTGGAGACCCTGGGCCTGGCCAGCCTAGAGCAGACAGGGAGTCTCTCAAGGCCTGGGACCTTGCCCGGGAAGGGGCTTCTGCGGACGGGGGTGATAGGAGGCTCTCCAGGGGCTAGAGATTCCCTAGAATAAGACACTGAGGAGCTGGTCTCAGGATCCCAACAGGCTCAGGGGGCATGGGTGTGAAATAGCCCACAGCACAGCCATGCTCAATGACCATAGACTGTGCTGGGCTGGGGGCAATGAGGTGGGAGGGGAGCAGGGTTGGCTGGGGTCTGAAATAACCCAGAAGGAGCATCTGGCCTTCCTGACTCCAGCCTTGCCCTGCCATTCTGTTCTGATTGCTGCCACCTAACTCCTCCTCCTCCTCACTCTGGTCCATCACATAAAAAACTATGGCTAACATTTTAGGTTGCTTTGCAAAAAATGATGTAAGTATATGAATGTACAGATGGACATTGTGTAGTATCTCTATCTACCTTCCTGGGTTGGGATGTTTGTGACTTTGCTAAATGTGTTAATAAACTATTTGTAAATATAAAAGAGTTCCTATAGTGTCAGTGTTGCAGCTGTGCACATTGGGGTTCCCAGCTGTATAATAATTTAAATAATGCTGGGCCTGATCTTGGGACAAAACCTGTTAACCCTTAAAGTGATAACTACAAATTCTTAAGTAATAAGCATAGAATCTATAGATTAGGCAACAGGCCCCCTCACACCCACTGCAGTCCCCTTCACTAGCTCCACTCCTTGTCCCCACACCCAGGTTCTGCCCTGCCCACCCCTCACCTGACACCTCCTGCTGCTCCCCGACTACCAGCCCCAGTCACCCTCTTTCTCCCTTTGTTCCAGACGTAGTAGGAGCTGGTGGGAGAAGGGAACAAACTCCCTGCTGCTGAGCAGCATCTAATCACCTCCTCCTCCTTCCTTCCTCAGAACCCCCTGCTCTCACCTGGCTTCCCAGCACCAACTGTCCCCCCACCCCACTGGTTTAATTCACGCTGACTCACCCAGGCCCTGGGCACTAGCACAGTGCATATGTGCAAGGTCCATGTCCTATGGTAGCACATTAGATCCAAGCTCTGTGACAGTCCCCTGGCGTTACGGGGCTCTGCTCCCCAAGCCCGCCCCCGTCACTGCCCCTCCACATCCAGTCCAGTGTCCTGTCTGTTATTGGGGTAGTGAACGGATGCTCTTGTGGTCATAGGCGGCGAGTCCATCCTCACGTGGTGCTCGGGCACCAGCAATATTCAGAGCCAGGGGCCCAGTTCCACCAAAATTTGGGGCCGGGTCACCCCCCCGGCCCCACCTGTGCCCCCCGAGTGTCCCGTGGCCCCGACTTGCTGCCCCTGTCCTCCCACTCGCCTTTCCTGTGCCCCGGAGCACAGAGTCTCTGTGTCTCCTCCAAGCTGCTTCCCTGCAGCAACTGCTGCTTCGGGGTCCTAGTGCCCCCCCTTCTCCATTGCCAGGGCAGACTGACTCTGAGCCTACCCTTCCCTTTTCCGGCAGGACCCTCCAGCAGCACAGCCCCCACCCACCCACCCACAGTCACTGCTCCTGCCCCATGCTGGGCAAGGAGGAAGCCCCATCCCTCACCCCCAGTGAGGCTACAGTCAGGGGCAACAGCAGGGGAGGAGGCGCACGCAGCACTGCCCGG